TGGGTTACTTATCTCATGTTAATGCACGATTCATGAAGTATAAAGGTTTGTTGAAAACAAAAAAAAAAAAAACACTGGGGGGGGGGGGCGCAAGGGCTCGGTTTTCAAATAGATTTTTGCTAATTCAAGCATTAAATAATGAATCAAGCATGTGGCGCCGTGCATTCCAATGCACCTGCTTTTGTGTGACTGCCATAAAAGCGCAGCATCGTGGCGTTTGAATTCTGACCAAAAAAGAGGCCCTTCTCTGAGGTTAGTTCTCATTTCCTACCCCCCCCCCCCTCCATTGCACATTCCATAGGAGACGGAAAGTCTCTCTTCCCTGAGAAAGGAGCGCTCCCCTCTCCTGACGTATCAGAAGGACAGAGCAGCTGGACACGCTTTGTGAAGCTAGACCCTCAAAGTGGACGCTTTCAATTCAAATAGTGGTTAAACAGCAGCATCATCGCTGGCCAGGGGAAAACAACCCCGACAGGAGGGACCAGGCCCAGACTGTCCCAGCTCTGTCCTAGATCAGGCAATTATTTTCCGTGGAGGGCCAACTCTTAGGTCATTTTAAATGATTATTTTCATGTTCCTAGAAAGCTACAATGACAGAGGTTTGAAAATACACGCAGGAATCAATCGGACCGGCACATTTTTCCAGGTTTCTTATATTTGATTATTATTGCAATGAATATTCTTTGGGCAAAAATCTCTTCTTTTTCATAGATTTCAACATAAATGTATAAGAACGTACCTGAATAATCACCAGCAAAAACCTAGTAAACCCTGGTCAGCCCTGGACGTTAAAAACATGCGAAAGGCTTGTTCAAACACAAATGTATATTAGCAGTGATGTCACACATATCTTGCTACGTGTAACAGTAATAAAGGCAGATTCTGGCTCAGCACTGAGACTGGACAGGGTGACCCCACTCGCCAAATGATGGGCCCCTCCCCTGGCACCACCCTAAATGGGGGGGGGGGGGCACCAACAGATACCTGTGGGGGGCAGCAGCTACAGAGCCGCCTCACACGAGGACGTTCCACCCATGCATGCTAATGGAATATCAAGATTAATGTGCGCTTAAACAAACGAACAGATTCATGGCTCTCCAGACGAGCTATTATTAATAAACGTGAGTAAATACCTTTCGCAAATGTTTGGGGAAGGCTTGATGAGTCAGCGAGCCTTACCGCGAGGTAGTCCGTGCGAGGGCAGCTTTCCGGCACGTTCGCTAAATGCGATTATACGGAATGTGTGGCTCTGTGGCCCGGCACAGATTTAATGGGTGTCGCTCGCTCAGACATGCGGGTCGCGTGTGTCACCGCGAGAGGGACGAGGGACCCACCCCTTTGCAGATGGCCACAGCCTCCTTAGACATGGCTTTGGGGTAGGACACATGGTGCTCCATGATCGACTGGAAGAGCTCGTCTTCGTCCTCGCCGTCGAAGGGGGGCTGCGAGCAGGAAGACAGCAGAGAGGTCGCGTTTTAACGAGAAGAGGGCCGTACCAGCCGCTCACGCCCCTGTAACACAGCAGCGGGCGGAGCAGCTTCTCTCCTACGGCGGCGTCCAGCAGGTTCCAGCACATCTTACACCAAGTGGCACCGCATGTAGTTTCACTGGGATCCACGTGTGCGGCCAAGCGCTTTGGGGAATTGAGGCTAAACCCTCGGCGCTTAAGGGACGCGGCACATCGGGGCCGCAAACGCCCCCCACCCGCAGGAGGGCACTGTAGCGGGGTCAGTACCGATTAACTTAAACCCTGAGGAGTGCAGAGCCCGTATGGCTCAGGCCTATCGACAATGCGATGCTGGAAACCCTGGACTCCTTAGAGCGGCGGAAGAGAGGAGAGGAGAGAAGCTCCTCTGGGTCCTATGAAGCAGCTGACAGGGTCACCAAGACTGCTTCATACCCACCTGTCCAGCCAGCATCTCGTACAGCAGGACCCCAAACGCCCACCAATCCACGGACTTCCCGTACGGCTGGTAGGCGATGATCTGGGGGACAGAGAACACAGTCAGCTTGAAAGCAGTCTAAACACGGCATTCACAGTACGCGACCACAAACCGGGAGGGGGGGGGGGGGTCGTTGTCGGGCAAAGGGAAACTTAATGGTTAGTTAGTGGTTGGTTAATGGCTCTCAGTGACACATGAAGACGAGCAGCATTTCAAAGACCTGGCACACAGATGTCTGCGCGTGTGCGTTGCACAGCCAGAGCACAGAGGACGCGGTCCAATACCACAGATATACAGTAGCACAGCCATGTCCCGGACGCTGCCCCTAGTGGTGCACATCGGCACTTTGAGACGGCAAATTATTAATGACTCACTTCGAGAAATCGGCATGCTGTGTCATCCAAATGAAACTGCTAGAGTGACCACATCAGGTTTTCTTTTGGCCACCCTGGTTCTCATTCATGGGGAAGCCGTTCCCGCACACTCTCCCAAACGAATAGCACACATGCGAGACTGTGATGGGTCTCCTTACTGCTGAGGAGTCAGACCGCGGGTGAAACCATCTGCTGTTCTGTCAAAATCGCGTGATATCTAATCTACTTAATTATGGGTCTGCCTCGGAGTCCCCCCACATGCCGCCCTCGGTCCGGCTGCACGGGGGCCAGGAAACACTTTCACACCAAAGGTATTTATCATTCTTACGCTGGGAATAGAGTGAAACACAAACAGCAAATTAGCACATAATCCTTTCCACACTTAAACCCAAACAACGCTGCTGCATATTTTCTATTAGGAAATGTGCTCCTCTGGGACAGAGTTATTGTTATTTTTTAATTTAGTGTGCAACACCAATTTCTGATAGTGGAAAGAAAATGCATCGAGTTGAGAGAACGGCTGCATTGGCAAGGCGCTCAGCCCTGATAATACGATGCAATTCCAGTCCCTAAAAATAACTAAATTCATGCCTGAGACACTTGGACTTGAGTGTGGAGCAGAGTGGAGTTTATTGGAATTATATGGGCTTTTTGTGATTTAAGGTTCAAGGTTCTGTTGGTGCTCTGGCCTGTAACTGAGATAACTCCACCTCCCCAGCTTGCAGTCACACCAAACGGGGAGGATGGGCGCGTAAGGACCTGGCTCGATGGAATCCAGCTGCGCATGGTCTGACTCACTGCATCTCAGACGCCTGAGAGGACATACAGCCCGGGGAGATGAGCGGACGAGTTGGGGGGACGAGGAGCTTGAGTCAATGACACGCCAACAATCGATGGAGGACCGCAGGTAACGGCCTGTCTGACTGTCACAGCAGAGCTTTCTGAGACAGTCGCCCCTCACCTCGGGCGCGATGTAGTCGGGGGTGCCGCAGAAGGTCTTCGTGGTCACGCCGTCCCACATGTTCTCCTTACACATGCCGAAGTCAGCGATCTTGATGTGCCCTTCCGAGTCCAGCATCACGTTATCCAACTTGAGGTCCCTGTGATGGAAGGGAGGTAGGGAACGGTGAGGGATGCTCTATCAGAGGCTGGGTGGGGGGGGGGTCTCTCCAGGTCAGGTTGTGAAGTGTGTCGGAGCAGACCAGCAGAAAGGGGCAAACTACGTGTTTAACTATTCATGAACGTGGCCCGCGTCTCACGTAGCAGCCAGAGTGCTGTGAGTCCCAGTGGACCAAGGGCACGATGCTCTACCTGCTCCGGATGAGACCCGCTGTCAGTCCGCGAGAGCTGGCAGGCTCTTTAAAGGAAACATGAGCAGGGAAAAGCTTTAAGCTTTATCACTGTTATCCACCCGCAAGTCTTCCTGCTGCTCACCCAGGACAGGGGTCACGGCAAATCACAGGGCATGAGGCTGGGGACACAGCAGCCAGGATGCTACTGCATCATAGGGGGCTCACACACACACACACGCACACACACACACACACACACACACAGACACACACGCACACACACAAATACACACACACACACAGACACACACACAGACACACACACACACACATACATAGACACACACAGACACACACACACACACACACACACAGACACACACGCACACACACAAATACACACACACACGCAGACACACACACAGACACAGATACACACACAGACACACGCACACACACACACACACGCAGACACACACACACACACACAGACACACACACACAGACACACACACGCACACACACACACGCACACACACAGACACACACACACACAAAGGGCAATTTAGAAATGCCAGGTCACATAATAGCATGTGCTCAGATTGTGGGAGGAAACCAGGCAGACACTTCAACATGGACACTGCAGGTTGGCTTCGGGGCCCAGATGTGCAGCAGAGGGGGGGCAGCTGAGCCCGGTGATCGGAGGGCCACGGAGGGCAGAGGGTGAAACTCCCGGATGTGACCGTTACCACAGTGAGTGCTCTGCCGCTCAGACCACACTGGCCATTCATGGACAGGGGCGCCTTGGGGGGCACGGCAGGGGGGGGAGTTAGTCTCACAGGACCCACATAGCACTCACCGATACACGATGCCCTTTGAATGGAGGAAGAAGAGGCCGATGGCAATCTCAGCAGCGTAGAACCTGCACACGGGGGGGTGCAGAGAGAGGGGGAGGGAGGGAGAGAGAGCAAGGGAGGGAAAGCGAGGGAGGGAGAGAGAGGGGGAGAGATTAGCTTTGGAGAAGCTGCTGGTGGAGCCAAAAGGCCAGGATCAACAAAAACCCATCCGAACATGGACCTCCTGCAAGGTCACATGACACAGAAGGGGCAGCAGCATTAACTAGGCCTGGGGGGGCAGTGGCATGGGGGCGGAGTCCAGCGCATGTAGATAAACACAGGGAGAGGAGCGATGAGAAAGAGGTGCGGCGAATGACGAGATGGGGGAGGTAACTGGGGCAGGCGGCCTGTTATCCATCCTGCAGAGCATCTCTCCCCGACCCCCACCCCCCCCCCCCCATTCCACCAGGCCCACTGAACTACAGATTTCTGTGAGGCTGTCAGACACCCTGGCTTTGGGAACTGTGGGGGGGGGCATCGGAATGAAAAACAGCACAAAGAGCAGCAGCGATGACCGAGCAATATCACACCTCCATTCTCCCCCTTGACGCTGTTTGCGTTCTTCCTGAAATACTTCTTAACAGGGTAAATAAACAGAGGGATATGAAACCGGGAGAAAAGTGAGATGAATAAATAAAGACAGACAGCATTCTGCTAGGAGGGCCGAGCCAGCAGCCCCCACTTACATGGACAAGATTACATTCCATAGTGTATGCAGCCGCCACCCCCCCCCCCAACTCATGCACAGATTTGTACTCATATCTGTGTGGGGACCATCCATTCATTTCTATGGGGAAAAAACCTAATCCCAACAATGACAACCTTAACCCCTAAAGAGCCCTAACCATAACCATAAGTAACCAACGAAAATACAAGACTTTTGGTATTTTTAGTTTTTTGATTGGACAGATTAACGGATTTTTATAAAATTGAGTTTCCCCATTGGCAGAACAATGCAATGTATTCAATCCAGCAGTAGTTCAGAGCACCAAGCATGTCCATGATGGCTTGAACTTCTTTCAGGATTGGATATCGTTTAAATATGTCATCATGAATAATAACAAAAGCAGCCAAGCGCCATAAAGCACTAATGGATATGGGGAGTATGGACTTGTAAGTACTTCCGCATTTTTGTATTCACAATGCAACGGACACTAAACTTTTAACAGTCTTGTAAATTAGCTAGCTAGCTAGTGTAGCTACGTTTAAGGTATATGGTTAATGTAGCATAGCTTATCTACAATGAGGCTTGGTTGCTAGTTGAGCGGCTTATTGACATGATATGACAGTCGCGTTTTGTGCCTACCATCATTTATGAGCAATGTTACATTAAACGGTTAGCTGGCTGAGTAGCTTAAAATAGAGTTTTCCCAGTTTCCTGGTCCCCATAAGATAAAAAGACAGGTATTCATCACATTGTGGGGACATTTGGTCTGCACGGTAAGGTATACCCCCCCCCCCCACACACACACACACACACAGCATCTCCCCAGGCTTCACACGGATAAGCACGCTTCCTTCCTGCAAGCTAATGACGCACTAAAATGTTATGGGCCAGAGTGCCGAGGCCATACTCATCTCTGCCCTTTAACACAAATAACAACCCCTCCCTCAACTGCGGGGAGGCAGTGAAACATATCAGTAAGTAGCTGACAGCAAGTAGGCGCTGTACACCGTGGATGGGGGGGGGGTCTGGCGGAGGGGCTTTAATGGTGAGAAAAGGGCAGGGAGAAGCACCACACTTAGGCATGGCTCAAAAGGAAAGGTCACGACCTGTCAATATGGCTGAACGGAGCTTCTAACCCTGCCTCCTCTTTCATCCATTCCTGCCTACTGCACATTCATTCTGAAGCAGCTCATGCTGGAGTACTACTCCTAATTTCCCCCCAAATAAATGGGGACAGGTGTCTGTACTGTACTCCACCTGGGAAGGGGAGAGGGTGGCGATGTACTCACACAGCGTGAGGCTCCTTGAACTTTCCGACCTGCTGGATCTGGTACATAAGGTCCCCACCATTGATGTACTCCATCACGAAGTAGAGGCGGTCCTGCAGGGGACACACGGGTGGGGATTAAGGGATCCGGCTGCCATATTTCGGGGCCCACAGCCAACCCATTGCTGAACTACGCTCAGAGCGCAATGGGGGGGCGCGGACGCCGGCAGGATGATGCATGTTCCCCACAAAAACACACAAAGGGTGCATCCAAAATTGCATGTCTGTTTGGTATGTACAGTAGTATGTGAAATATGCAACAGGAGCAGCATGTCTGGATCCTCAGTATAGATAAGAGAGTAGGCCATGGGTACTCTAGCTTTCCCCTAGGGCCACGTTTTATCGGCCACACAAAGTAGGCGGGGTTCCTTTCAGTAGGTTTCGATGACTGGGGGTGGGGTGGAGTGGGGGGAGTTGAATGGATTACGCTGTGTTTCAGTCCAGGTGTGGACCGAATCTACCATTTGAGCAGCCCTGCAGTAGGCGAACGGTACCTGGGAGACAGACTACATTCAGTAACATTCCAAAGTGTGCAACTGCTGGATGGTACGCAGGGGTCTAAAGATGCACCGATGCATCATGACAAAATAGAAATAGAGATACTGCTACTTCCAGGTTGCGCACACAAAGTGGCAGTGCTAGTACAGAAATTGCTGAAATGCAGGATGGCAGAGGAAGACACGTTTATATTCAGAAACGAAGCACAACAGTGATGATCTTTGCGCTGCGACGCTCTTGGGAAACTCACGTTTTGTAGCGCAAGATAATCTTTGCGCTACAGTGCTTTTGGGAAACGCCTGTTTTGTCTTGCAAAAAAGTCGTTTTTTTTTCCAGCTACAGTAGCAATGGTCAAGACTAAGTAAAAAAAGTAATGTTAGCCTTAGAGATGCATGATATATTCGTTAGCATACTGGTATCAGCCAATATTTATGAAAAATCAAGATACTTGCATTGGTCTGTATTTGTAGAAATTTAAGTAGAAAACAGTCCCCGGTTACTTAAGTTCCCTCAAATGTGTATTTGATTATTGACAGTTCAACAGTTTTTAACTTTCATACGAGTCAAATTATGTCATTGGTAAACATCCAGGTCAGGTAGTAGGCAAGATAGCGACCGCAGTGTGTCCAAGTGCATGCATACTGTTTTCATGCATACCTGCAGAATGTACCTCATTAACGGTCAAGTAGCAGACTTCTAATGAAAAATATGGTGCAAGTATGTGATTTTGGATGCATCCAAAGAACACAAGGAGTTGTGGGTAGAGATACAGTCTTAGATACAGATACAGCGAGTCAGACATGGTTGCGGGGCCATTCTGCAGGTCCCCAGCCAGCCCCAGCACACCAGACACATGCCCCGCCCCTCCATAACTGGTGGCTGATCCAGGGAAACAGACAGGACAGTTACTGGGGAACCTGCCACTCAAGGTCACTTTTTCATTCTCTGCCAGTTCCCTGGTTGCTCTGTGCTCTTTAGAAGCACCTGCTAATGCAAATCAGCAACCGCCCTCAACCATGAATGGACCAGCTAGTTACCAGATAAAGTGGCCAAGGGAATTCAGGCACGTGACAGTTCCTTCTCCTGTGGAGCGGCGATTCTTAGAAGAGGACTCCTGCTCTGACCTATCACAGAGGCTTGCTGGGTCATGTAAGTGGAGGTGGTGGCCAATAACATTATTGTGGTTCTTAGGAATCCCCAAACCCAGAGGGTAGGGAGAGAATGGTAAGCCACATGGTTGATTTCACAGGACTCGGTTACAGCAAGCTCTGACACCTCTAGCATGTTCAAAAGTGATTGCTGAGCTTTTAATATATGCTGACCGTGACTACTGAGCCTTGCTGAAGGGGAACCACTCATTTGTTGGCTGAAAATCATATTTGTTACACCACGTTTAATGATCATCACATTCCACATACATCTGAATCAAGCTATCAGAAAGACTGGAATAATATCAGGCCTTCGATGGCGAAGGGTGCTATGAAGGGACCCCTTCAATACGAGATGGTGTGATGAGAGATCGACCCTCATGATCTTTTCACAAAACGACAAACGAACATCTAGAGCATCTGTTCGCATTCAGCGCTCTCTCTCCATCACACGCCTGCTCCCTTCGGCACGAGTCGCCGCATGTCCTTTGAAGATTTGTTGGGCGTAAAACGTAAAAATAAAAGCGACTTTGCTAACTCTTCTGAATCTAGCAGCCCTGTGGAGATAAAGCAGAGTCTCACTCTACTCTCCTCCGCCTAAAGAGAGACGGCATTTCCCACCCCCACCCCGAGCGGAGCTAATTTGGATGTTTCTGCAGACCAATCACAGCTGGAAACACTGGGCCAATTAAACACTGGGCCTGCAGCGGGAATACGGCACACATCATAGCAGCTGACAGGATATATGGGTGTATTGAGAATGTCATCATTATCTATAGTGAGCTATGGAGAGGGAGGGACCCGGCATCCCTACAGGGGTGGGTGTGGCCCGTACCATGGTCTGGAAGCAGGAGTGTAGCTGAGTGAGGAAGGGGGGCTTCCCTGACAGAGCAAGAACTCTCTTCTCCACCATGGTGCATTCCACGTCATCATCCTGGATGACAACGTCCTTCTTCAGGATCTTGACAGCGTAAAGCTCATCGGTATTCTTTCTCTCAGCCAGCATCACCTGGGAAGGCGAGAGAAGAGGGTAAACGCGTCAAAAGCTCTGGAACTCCATCTGCAGACAGGGAAATGTCAGAAATGCGGAAGGATGGCCAGCGTTCAGAAGTTCAGAACCAGAGATGTTGAAACTATGGGAAAAATGTAAGGGGATTATGGTGAGGTCATATCCACAGTCCAAACTAAAGGCAATGGCTGCACATTTAGGGAGAAGATAACGTAAAACCTCCTAGGAGATATCCTGCTAAACCCCACCAATAGCAATCCCAAGGGCTTCTGCAGTTATGCCCTGCTGTACATACAGGTAGGCGATACATTGTTTAGGCATTAAGGTACCACAGTGCACATTACGAAGAGCATAGATGGATAGACAGTGGCCAGCACGGAGGCCGAAAAGCTGAAACAAGCATATCCTCTCTGCAGATGGGAGAGACAAAGAGTCCCCCCCCCAAAAAAAAGTGCAGAGCCCCAGGCAAGCCTGCACAGCTGTGACTCACCGGTGACCTGCAAGCTAAGGCCCAGCCTGCCACGGAGCTGAATGAGCTCGTGAAAGGCTTATCTCCCACAATGCCAGGCAGTCGTTTCTCTTATCTACACTCACAAGGTGACACGTTACATTACTTAACACAGAAGCCCGGGTACAACATCCATTTGTTGTTGACAGAGATATGCTTTTGTACTGAGCCAGAGTAAGCAGAATTAGTGGGGGAAACGGTCTGGATAGGAGGCTTTGATGATAAATTGTTAACTCAGACCTCATCTGAAGCACAGCAGCCATTTCAGCGGCATGCTGATCATTAAATATCTGATAAAAACAGATGGTAATGTGATCTACCCATAGATCAATTCATCCACCATTTCCTTATGGTGACTAAGACATGATTCATAATTTTATTAAACTCTGTTTTGGATATTGTGGTAAGATAAAAGATTGGCTGCACCATGCTGGGGATAAATTCCAACATCAAAAACTATGAAAAGATGGAATAACTGAGTGATGGGAAAGCAGATTTCAATTGTCCTCCTTTCAGCAGTCGGCATGGAGGCTGAGATAGGGGATTGGGGGAGGGGGGACGAGAGGGGAGACCAAGAGAGAAACAATGAGGGTGGGAGAGGAGAGTGGCAGATAGCAGTCAAGCAAATCTCAACTGGGAAGAAATCTGGGGACACATCTGTCACAACACGTCACCCAGACACCACAGAAACATGCAGAGATTTTGGCCTGAACGACATTAAACCTGCAGCACTGGAACCACAGACCTGTTGCATTGTTGTCATCAGTGTAAGGAGCAGTAACACACCTGTCTGCACCAGGCTGTGTGTGACTGAACAGGAGATGGGGAACACGCACCACACCAAAGAGTCACAAAGGCAAGATGCAGGAGGATGAAAGGCAGTTTTTATATAGGGGTCATAGGGGGCATAGGGGGTACAGGGGGCATAGGGGGTACAGGGGGCATAGGGGGTACAGGGGAGACAGGGGACACAGGGGGCATAGGAGGCATAGGGGGCATAGGGGGCATGGCACACCAGCTATGCACACCAGGCCGGGGAGAAATACAGCCCTGAAGACATGAGAGTGAAAACATCAGCACTTAGCAGGAATAACCCTGAGAAGAGCACCGTGTCATAAAACCTTTTTCAGTCTGCAGGAAAGCTAACTGCAAATTCACTGTTACACATAAAACATGTGACCTAAGTGCCTTCATGTCCGTCTTGAATCATGTTGATCACATAGACGACAATCTGCCAGAATGCCTCCTTGCGGCCTGTTGTCCACCGCCATCTTTTCCAACAGCTTGGATCTTATCATCATAGGCCCAAAATAAGACTGCCTCAGCCTGGTCATTTGCACTGTGCAAATCGGCTTCCCTCTAAAGTCCTGAAGCTCTTAATGAAGCTACTTCTGTCAAAGTTGCTGGAGAAGACTGGCACTCACATAATACATGAATGGCGGATAAAGTCCCGAAGCACTTCCAGAATTAAACCGCTTTTCGAGCACGTCCCCTGCGATAGCGAGGACACCTTGCAGCTTTCCTGGTGCTTCTCTTATCAGCTACCCTGTCCCTCTGTAGAGACTGGCACAGCGGCTGCCCACATCTCTGCCTTGGGACACATCGGCAGCTAAATCCCTCCAGCCCAGATGTCAATTGGTGGAAAGAAATGTCTTCCTCGTTGCCAGGGTGATGGTGTCAACCAAGACGACGACTAACGAGCTTAATGAAGCTCTGCCAGTTTGCATCAACATATCAATATTATTCGAAATGTCAGTTGCTATGGAAACTGCTTGTGCCCAGAACCTGCCGTGTTGGTATCGGTACTTACTTTTTGCCACCCCTCCCCGCATCAATACCCCCTTCTGGGTCTTTTCAAGCTTCTCTCCTGGTCGATCTTCACTACGCACCACATATTTGGGAAAGTGTCAAAACTGCCCAACAGACGGACGACCCTGTGACAGCCTAGAGCATGGAGCAGTGGGGGACGTTACCTTGCCGAAGCTGCCCTTGCCCAACACCATGAGGAAGTTGAAGTCAGACAGCTTGACGCGGTCCCGGTTGCCGTTCTTGTCACATTTGGGCATGACGTTGGTAGAGGAACTATCCGCGTTCTTTGTGCCTGGGCCAATTTTCGCTCTCTGTGGGGAGAGGAAGACAAGACGTTCGGTGTTAAAGAAGCACTGAGTGGAAGCCTGCTGTCAGGAGGGTAACAAGGCTCCGAGTGTGATTAACATACTCAGCAGGTCCATCCTCACAGCTCCTGTCCTGTGTAAACAAAGGCGCTTACAGGTAGAGAGCCATTAACAGCTCTGTGCCGATGGTGACCAGCGTCACGCGGGAAACCTCCCACTAGATTGAACGTAAACCTTTGAACATAAGCCAAGAAATGGCGAAATGATGAACAAAAGTGATGGCGGGATTCTCTCGCCCGTGGATCCCCAACAGACCAGCTGATCAAGGGCTGTTTTAGCAGTGGGGAAACACCGGCAGGGCGGGTGGGGGCTGTGAGGAGCAGCCAGCCAGGCGAATTTTCACACCCACCCGGGGCGGACACTTAATGGCTGGCAGGCAGCTCGTGGCCCCGTCTGGCCAGCCCCAGGACACGAGCCGTGATGGAGCCGTGCTCTGATTAATCTGCGTTCATTAGGGCTCCTGGCAGAGGCACATCCTCCCTGCTGCTCCCCCCGTGAAGAGGAGCAAGCTTAGGCCCTGCCCCCACCACCAGCCATGATGCCGCCCAGCCCTCTAACTCCATGGGTTGAGCGATCTCACGTGCCTCTCCCAGCAATCCATGTCAGCAGGCAGAAGCAGCAATGGGGCTCGATCTACCATAAAATCCCATTAACCTGCCTCCTGTGGATGTGTTTTGGCGTCTCTCCGCGCCTTTCTCCTGGACCCACTCTGGGCGAGCTGTCGCTGGAACGCGGAGTTTCATTTCTGCCTCCAAAAGCGAAGCCCTCGGACATGTGCGCACATGCAGGCACATGCTCACACATTCGGCCAGACTCAAGGTCACCTGCGAGGGGTAGGACCAGAGACGCAGCCACGGGGTAAACGCCATCTGATGGGAAGAATTAATGAGGACTTGGGGGGGGAAAAGGCCCCAAAAACCCTCCCTTGATCTCTGGCTCTGCAATCTGCCTCCTCACCCACTTCACAGAGGAGATTTCTTATCTGCTTACTTCTGCACAAATATAACAATAGCCCATGGTGTGTAGAAAGTTCCTTATCACTGGGCTTACTGCTTGTTCAGAGGTATAGAAAAAAAATCGGCACATTACGGTGACGCGACTCAGTTCTTTGTACGCATCCTACATTGTCAGGCAATTGATTTTTTTGTGCTGTTGTTCAGAATATAATTGGGAAGAAGGAAAATCTAAAAATAAATCAATTCTGATATTACAAAACTGCTCTGAGGGACAATGCTAAAACCGCATTAGAAGCCCAATAAAGGGTGAGCAGGAAAGTTTTGTTCCTTAATGAAAAAGCGTGAGGAGAAGGAAGACTAGGATTAAATGGCATGAGATGTCAAGCCTTGTAGTAGCGCTCCCTCACAGAGCTGGCTGCAGCTCGCAGGATTCACATTGGTTCCTCTCCGGAGCGCACCTCACCTCGACTATAGCCACAAGCTCAAAATGGAGGCGTGGATCGAGGACACTGGGCGAGCTTGGCAGTTACATTGAGCCCGAGCTAAGGAGGTCCCTGGGTCGTATCCAAGCTAATGCTGTGGTGCTCCCTGCCTCAGCTGGGATTTCACGAGTGAGCGCGCTTACAGCTGTCCAGAAGCTCGGCCATTTCAAAAAGTGCAGTGAGGACAAACCCGGCTGGCAAAACAGATGGACACATTTCGTAGATGCTGGGAGACCTTTCTGGGCCAGAATAGTATACTGTTGTGTTGTATTTTTATTGAAGAAAACTAAATAAAAGTTACGTCACATTGTGAAGACTCATGCATCTCATGAGAGCGTGCTTTGTGTGAAGCCCGTATACAAAACAGTCAGCCATTGAAATTCAGGAGTTCCCAAGTTCCTGCCAGAGGTGAATCTCCTGGGATTCGTGCCCCACTTGGTTACTTGCCAATTAGGTTGCTACGGCACTGGCCTGACAACATCTCTGTATGTTTAAACACTTAAAGATGAGGATGATGCTTTGCCTAACATGTCTATACTCTCCTGGAAAAAGCAGCCTCTGAATCTCCAAAAGAAGATTGCTCCTCTCCCCCTTCCTCTAGCCAGGCCCCCCGGAGCTTGTCCTTGGGAGAACGCTCTGGAGTCGGCAGAGCGTGCCAGCTTCCCAGCACATAGCTGGTCCTCTATTATATCTGCTTCCTCCCGGTATTGCTTGACACTCCCCTTTCCTTTCTGGCGTTTGAGTGGAGCCACCTGACAGGACACCTCCGGAGTAGGCGCTCAAGGCAGTCCTTTCCGGTGGTAAGACGCCTTCACCTTCCAGCTGGCGGCTCGACATTAGCGCTGAAGCAGCCAGGCCGCCAAACCTCGATATGATTCCAGAGCAAAGGCCGTCAGGAGGCGTCACCCACACGCCCTGATGGGGAAGTTGGGCGGCTGCAAAGGTCAGGCCTATCGATTTCCACCAGCCACGAAAAGGGCAGGGTTGCACCATATTAACGCGCATTGATTGGCAGGCTTGTCGGGCCACTTTCCGGGTTAGACTGCCAAGAGGAAAGGGCACATCTTCTACACCTGCCATTTAATGGTAAGTGCTGGAGGGTGGGGCTGGTAACATGCTACAGTAGCATCCCTCACGTGACGCGTTTCTGACAAGCTAGCCTTTCCATTAGCAATGTTCTCTCCAGCATCTCTCTCTTCACTCTCCTGACTCCCCCTATAGCTATACACTTCAGCAGAAAAGAAGTTAATTAACCAGCCCAACTTCCTCCTGGAAGACTCGCCCAGAGCCTTCCGGACACCTGTTGCCTGCCGTCTCATTCGCGGAGGAGCTCTGCATTCATGTACCTGAAGGCGACGGCAAGACAGGAGAAACTAGGTTCTGAAATGAGAAAGCCACCTTGAGGGGCCCCGGGGGGGGGGGGGGGGCAGCAGCCATCAGACTACTTCCATAGTTCTCAAGGCACAGCATCCGTGTGGGACTGTGGGACTGCATCATCGCCTCGGCAAATTCGAGGGAAGGGAAGTGGGGCTACCTCATTGCTCACAAGAGTACAAAGATACTCCACAAGGACAAGACTGCACCAGACTGCAACTTCAGGAGGAAATCCTGTGTGTGTAAGCATGATTTTGGGAAATCCTTCCATCGATACCCACGATAATCCGGTGGACTGGGACCCAGGAGAGGGAAGCTTGTGTGCAATACTGCTCTGATGACGACTAATCAAATAACAGCAAACGGTCAGCGGCGAGGTCCAGCCAGCCTTGTTCACCTCTGACCTTTGACCTGGCTATGGATTCGCAGTTGAGGCAGAAAGCTCGGAGGTGCCTGTAGACCGACCGGCCTTAGAGACTACTCAAAAACCCGCAATTTACATTGAGCTGCTGCCGCAGCAGATTCACCTCGCTAGTGCTGCTGCCCTGGTCAGATTCCCATAAAAATTCCAAAAAGCTGTATTTGATTGTCTGAACAAGAGGTGGAGGAATCGCTCGGATGAACGGCAGATTCCAGATAGGCATGGTACCGTGGACATGTGGGCTTCTTCCTCTCATAACCCATGCGCCACTGAAGACCCCTACAGCACAACCGTACACTCACTCATCTACACCACAGAAAGTGGGGATTAAAAACATCAGCTACATCAGGGGACAGAAAGAGGGTAGAACATTTACTCGGAAAAGCCTGAACTCTAGTGGAATTTCACACTTCCTTGCCTCTCAGTAAACACGACAACTGGATGCATTTTTAAAATCATGAAAGATGCGTGGTTACCATCAAAGCACGGCTGAGGTTAAAACCAGCGTAGTTTACAAGCAGACTGCGAATAATCCTTCCCCTGAGCAATTCCCCTGAAGGCATGCAAGTTTCACCATTTGGGGGGGAGTTCCTGCTACTCTGACCATGGATGTGGAAGGCAGCCATTCCTGCCGGCTTCCTCGGAATCCATCATGAAAGCTCCCAGCTGATCCGGCGATTGCCATGCCGACGGCTTAATTAGCTTAATGCCTTCCTTGACTTCATGCTAGACTTCATCTGATCGTGTAGCACAGCAGATGTTTCATTCAGTTCATTACGGCTTCCAGCTAATCTAGGATATTGTGTTGTAGAAAACACTGACAGGAATAAAAAAATAAATAAAAATTAAAAATGGCCGATTCCGAACTCACTTTCATCGGACACACTTTCACCAAGGTGTTTTAATTATTTAAGCGTTAGTAGACTTATCAAAGAAATATGGCATTGGGCATATATCTCAAAACGTGGAGAGAGCCTGGTATCTGGTTTAACTTTTGGCCACTGACATAAACATACAGGCCGGCGTGGAGAAGGCAATCTGTCAGAAATCGCGCGTTACCATGATGGCTGCCAGTCAGGTGGGCAGTGGCGGACTCACCTCGAACTTCTGCCTGAGCTCCTCGTTGCCATCCTCCCCCTCGGGTGGGACTGGCACATTGAAATACTCTCCTTCCTCCTGGCTGAGCATTTTGAACCTGTGGGAAGGTGGGGGTCCACCGTTAGGGGTTCACCATACAGAGTTTGGGGCGGGAGATACGCCAAACAAGGACAGCAGATTAAACAGCGATGCTTAATGCTTATTTATACCTGTACATGGCCTATCCTTTATATCTATATTTCAGCAACATACTATAATTTTGGCAGATGATAACTACTGCAATAAAAAGCATATATGCAATGTGTTCTACATTTGTACTGCTCACACCCACTCATTGACACACACATACAGACAGAGCAGCGAAAAACAGGTTAGATTGAAGTAATCCAATTTCTTTAAGGTTAACTGCTGCTGCTGCATCCCCGTTATTGTCGCTCTGACCTTAAGCAGAGCCAGAAACATGCAGACGCCGTGTAGACATCAGAGCCTTGGAGCGATGGCCCGTTTTACAAGCCATTATCCAATAAGCCGGGCTCTCTGCGGTCAGAATTAAAGACGCCACCGGAGTTTATCTAAATGCGGGTGTCTTCTTAAGCCCCGCGCTGGGCGTGCCAAATTACATGAGGTCAGAGCGGCCCCGGATTTCCACTCAGCGCTGATAACACCTTTTATCAGGGGGGAGCAGGGAGCGTGGCTGGCCTGATAACACACTGACCGCGCGCCGTCAATCGCCGGCTCCCCGGATGCAACCACAGGCGGCCTCCGCAGCCGGCCTATTCAGGAGGTCCTGCCTGGCACGATGCAAGGAAACCGTTTACAGTGCAGTAAAGTGCTCCACTTTCTCGGTGCTTTAAGGATAAGTAATTAGGCGGGGGGCAAAAAAGAAAAGGCAGCTTGAATCGCAGACTCCCGCCCCAGCAGCTGCGGTCCGTTTCATTCATCTACCTTTGCTAGGGAGTCTATTCAGTACAGGGAGAAAAGCAGGGGCGCGGCCTGGACTGGTGGCCAGTCCATCACAGGCCTCACGCCCACAGACACTCACACAAAATCACTCGACAGGCAATTTAAAGATCCCAATCAGTCTAACTGCATGTCTTTGGCCTGTGGGAGGAGAATGGAGTGGTTGGAGGAAACCTGAGCAACGCGGGGGGGGGGGGGGGGGGTGTTCAAACTCCACACAAACACGTACAGAGTTGGGTGAGGAATCGAACCCCTAGCCAGAAGGACACTGAGCTACCAGCCACCGAAGCCCGTTTCAGACATGGTGAATTCAAATCCTTGTGGTAGATCCGTTTAGTGATTGTAAGTCACATATCACTGGCCCATACAAAACAAATAATAATAATAATAATAACAACAATCATAATAACAATAATAATAATAATGAAAAATTATAAAACACAAAACCTGCCAGTATTTACTGGGTTACAAATTACAGCTACTTTACAGGCCAGCTTCCACATGTGCTACTTACAGTAGGGAAATATCCTGGTGTTAATCACAGCTCTGAAAAACGACAGCTATGCTGGGGGTAAGTGAAAGAGCGCCTCCCTAAGGACGAGGCCTGACTGACGTTTATACAGCGAGTGCTCCATCGAGTGCCCATTACACACTGTAAATACTGGACTCCTATTCTCTCTGGCTGTCTGAATGGCAATTGATTGCTTTTCCAATGACAGTAATTCGGGAATCGATATGAATAGGAGAGGAGTGTTAATTGGCGAACGCATTCAAGCGGCTGCGTGATGAAATAGTGGATGGCAGCTCTAATCCTTGCAGCCCAACAAAGACTGTAAAGCTTGGCTCTTCTGATATAACAGGCGCTTATGCTGACGGTCCAACAACACCAACCATTTGGAGTGGATTAAAGACAATTCATATCAATAATTGAAAAAAAATCAGCTTAAATAGCATTAAGTTATTAATCTGCATTAACTAGACTTACTGTACATTTAATTGAAGTTTTACTTGTGCGATATGGGCCATATTTTACTGAAGGATGGCAAGTTAGCATGGGGGCATAGGAACTGGGGAGGGGGGGGCACATCCCCCCAATTTTTTTTTTATCTGGTTTCATTTATCCAAACCAATAAACAGACCTGTGCATTTAAAATATTATGTTGTGCTCCCCACCCACAATATCAGACTCTCTGCTTCGTCACAGGGTCATTGTCACAGTGACAGACATTTTGGGATTTAGATCACAGAGATGAAATATTATGCCTAACGCTACAAGCAAGGAGTGCTGAAATTAAAGGGGTCCATCCATCCACTCTGGGTCAGATCGTCCGCGGGGCTGCAGACCAACAGCCTGCTGCTCGACCAGCTGCAGGAGGCTTCACATCAAGCATATCCTGCCTCCTCATTTAACTCTATTGCACATGCGTTTGTGTGATGTGTACATTACACTGAGGGGACCAAATATCCCTACAATGTGATAATCTGTTATTTTGAAGGTTTGTATTTTGTTTGGTTACTAATGGTCAAGGTTAGGGCTGGGTAAGGGTTAAGGTTGTCAAAGTTGGGATGATGGTTAGGCCAATAGAAATAAATGGACAGTTCCTACAAAGACATAAATTTGTATTTTAATATTTTAAAAAATATTTTTTAATTTTAATTTTTTTATAAATTTTGTATTTTCTGATTTTGATTGCTTATTATATTGTATTGTTCATTTATACACTTTATGTGCATATGTGTGTATGTATGTATATATGTATAAATGTATGTATATATATACATATATAAATATATTTATATTTATTAATATTTATTAAACCTATTATATGTACAAATAAAACATACATTTTTTTTACATTTACCTTTATATTTATAAATATAAATCCATATTACATATTCATATTGTAGATTGTACATTACTGTATATTATATTGCTCAGTATATTGTTCATTGTGACTTTACATATTGTTGTTGTTTTTATACTGTTGTGCTTGAGAGACACCATCAACCGGAATCAAATTCCTTGTATGTGTTCGCTCACATACTTGGCCAATAAACGCGATTCTGATTCTGATAAATACAAATGCGTGCGTGTGGGTGTGTGTGTGTGCGCATGCGTGTGTGCATGTGTGTACTTGTGTGTGTGCACGTGCGTGTGCGCGCATGTGTGTGCATGTGCGTGCCTCCAGTATGCAAAGGGTGTAATCAAGCAATTCATCGGTTCCCCCAGCCGCTCCTCAAAACTCTGGTCCTCATTAAAACCCAACAGTGGTGCATCATCAGCAAAAAAAGTATGCAAACCAAATTATGTGAAAATGATAAAATGACCAGCAAAATAAAGGTATCTCTCTAAATTGCAGGAGGTGGTGGGATCACTAATTACTAATAGCTTCCAACTTGCACACTGAAAAAAGCTAAAGCTCCTTGACAATGCAAAACAAAAACCGCACACTTAAAAAGTACACAACTGTTAGGTATTTAGATACAGGCCCTCCTGAGGTCAACTGCTATGGAATTACATCAAACTTTTTCCCTCCAAAAGGAGCCTTCCAGGAGTAAGATTTAAAAGCACCGTTTCCATTGAGCTTCATCTCTGCAGAACCCTGCAGACTGTAATAAAATTATGCAAAACATAATGAAAAGCTTTCAAATGATTATGTGATGGAGAGAAGCCTCAGGCAGAGGCGTTCCACACAACTACAGAGCGCGGTGCTCTACGGTAAGGAGAGGTGGTCTGAAGGTGAGCTGGAGGCGGGAAACCATGCAAGGAGGAGGACCGAGGCGGGACCCAATGTGGCGGACGGGTGACACAACGCTCGGTGACATCATTGACTTTGCCGATTAACCACTCTACGTGTCAGGAGAAAGCTCTCCGGTGACAATCTATTGGTGTGAAATCTGGGTGCGGCGTGCGGGGAGCGCAGTACTTGTGCTGGGACCACACAGGGACGCGATTGGCAGGGGAATTTCCTTGAGAACAGACGCGTCTAGCAGTGGGAGGCGCAGGAAGGCGCCAGGCTCGAGACGCCCTGCATGGAGGTAAATCCCGTAGCCTGTTTCCTGTCCTTACCAGCCGTTCACTCCCTGCTTTTGCAGCTCAGAAATCCCAAATGACAGGGACCCCATGAAGTCATTCCGACTGGTCAGATCCCAGTCCCACACTTCCAAAGACAGCCTGCGGTCCTTGTCAGACTCCTTCAGATTGCTGAGGAACAGAGGCAGAGAGACTAAACCAAGGAGCTCTGGTGCAAACCATTCATGAGAAATACAGCAGAGAACGCTACAGAATACTTCTTTACTACAACAGAATGGAGCAATTATGAAGACTAAGCTCACAAGGTGAAGTTTTCGTTCCACGTAGGGTTGAGAGAACACTTAATTGTCTTGGTCTTCTGCTTGCTCTCATTCTTTGGATCTGGGATGAGTTTCAACTTGACATAAGGATCAGACAGACCATTGGGATCCATGGGCACAAGGTTCTTTGCCTCCTTAACTGAAAGAGAGAGAGAACAAGATTATAATGCAGACAAAACACAGTCTACCTCTCATGTGCCTCTTGTTATGTGGTTCACTGAATACCTTAGCCAATACTATTGGGTGAACAAGTGGTAGTGAAGGTCACATGACATTATGTCTGCCATTGTCCAAGCAAATGAGCTAATACAAGACCAGCGAAAATATCTCCTGCCAGCAACCGCAATGAATCCTGCACTGCAAAATGGATTCTGGGAGCCTCAGCCCTGCTGCTATGCAAATGTTTACCCATCAGTCCTACAATAATTTGATTTGCGTGATGCACCTCCTGAGAACCTGAGGGGTAAACCCATTTGTATATGATAAACATTATCAATCACACACTCTGGACATGCGACGCGTGTGACATTTGGAGGTCAATGACTGATTTATTTTTGTTCTTGAAACCAATGGATGCGAGATCAGAACCGTTTACGAAACAAAGGGCGTATAGGACAAGTGAGGAGTGTCGGGAATACTGCGGACATATTTAAGTGAATTGCTGGGTCCAGTCGAGGCATATTTCACAAATCCTGGTTGGGGCATTAAGAGCTTTTTGATGTTTTCCAGCTCACTTATCCCAAGCAAGGCCACAAGGGGGGTGGGGGTCTGGAGCTTATGCCAGGCATTATAGGGCACGAGGCTGGGGTACAGCCAGGCTATAAAATAATATGAAGAAAAAATATATATCATAAAGCCCCCACAATGAACATCTGTAATCAGTAAAGTCATTCACATTCCTAAAGCTGGCCGGTACAGCCCAGGTGCATTATTGTGACTGGCTCAAAATTCGGTGTGAGAAATGATTAGTTATTCTTTCAGGTTTAAAACGTACTGCAGTAATGAACATGTATGAGGACAGGTGGGATGAAGATGACCTTCTAAGAGAGAAAGGCAACTGCATTTCAATGTTAGCATTCCCACATTCGGGTACTGAGGGAGAGCTGGATGTGACATCCAGCGATAAAGTGCGGCGTGATGGATTAAAAACAGCAGCAGTGCGAGGCCACACGCAGAATCCAGCATGAGGACTTCACTGCTTCCTCTAGCAGACCATGCAGATCGAATGAAACAACTGCAAAGGGAGGCACTTAAGATAACACTCAGCAAAATAAGTCCCAGTTAATACAGTAACACTCGGAAGCATGCAAAAATGCTCATAATGTCATCCTTTTCAATGAAAAGAGAGCGAGACACCCTGTGTTTTCAGAGAAGCCAGCAGCTGGCTTGACAGAGAAGATGGCGCATGGACTTAAAAGGACGATCGCATCCTGAGACGAAGGCAATTGCTGAGGCACGTTGCTGGAGTCACACAGACACAACCTGATAATTCTAGATGTGTCCTCTATTGTGCCGCATGCAAAGAAGGTGGGGGGTGGGGGGGGACATCAATAAGCAGGAGACCCTGTCATAAATCCTTCCATAACTGATTAAAAGTCCAAACGCTGCCATTTGCCGGGGGGGGGGGGGGCTCTAATGCAATATAAACAGCAGTTTCACAATCAATATACAGTATAAACTAGTCACTGTTCAATGCCATAGGGAAATGTGTGGCCAATAGGAGAGCAAGTCACTGAGGCCTTGTGCTCATTCATAATAAAGCGGACTTTTCAGGAGACACGGGGTGGAATGACACCCCCCAGCCCCAATACTAAAATATTCCATAAGTTATATGTAAATGAACTGAAAAATCTTCATAATAAACACCAAGTAGCATTAAGGACCATTAAGCCAGTTCTAGGCTTTGAAATACATACAGAACTTATGACTTTGGATAGGTTTGGCACCCAGTTGCACCATTTGCTCTTTCCTCCATTAAACCTGTTGGGCTCCATCAAATGATATGAAATTGGGGAGAAAACAAGTTTGAGAACCACATGTTTAAAACTGGACCTAATCAACCATGTCGTTTTTGAAAAATTTACAAAATGCCAAAACACAAAGACAGGTTTTTGTATTTTTCAACTGTTTTTTTGTTATTTTTGCCTGTCCATAAATTATACACAGGTTATTAATTTCCGTTATTCAGCTTCCTAAAATTAATTGTAAAGGGGTCAGCTTTGATTTTAGGTATCAGGCATGTGTTTCTGACTTTTACATCTGAAGTTATAAGGTAATTATCCCAAACAGGCAACAAATGGCCTGTTCAACACGAACCCCTGGTGGAATCCATAGGCTTAATAAACATTCAAGTAAATTTCCATGTTAGTAACATTTGTTTCGTTTGAAGTGTAAACATCCATGGGTGTAAAAGCAGATCCTACATGCAGTCCGTGTCCGTCAAGCAATCATCAAGCCACCACAGCTCCCATAAACCTTTACTATAGTTTACCATTATACCCCTAGTTAACAGTAATTGGGTTGAGTACGAACCACGGTTTTGGGTTCACAGCTCAGTACAGCAGGGAAAACAATTTGTTTAGAAATTTATTCTTAAATATGCAAACACAAAGATTTAAGAACAGTTGTAAACCACAGGCAATGTGCCTGCTGACGTGTCTATAACAGATGCTTATTTGCATATTGTAAACATAAATATGCAAAATTAATCAAAAATATAACATCATAACAATTATAATCAACTAAATCCCATGTTGTCTACTAGCGAGTATGATTGCATATCTGTATAGTGATAAACACCCCTACAGCAGTCATTTTTAGCCCCGTCTGACTTTCCTGGCAAAAGCACTTTAGGGGTTTTCATGGGGAGACTAACTCGCAGAGGTTGTTCATGCCTTACTCTGGTCATAGATACGCTGGAATGATTGTCTCAAATAAGTTAGCACATTAGATGCGTTTCCAGCAACATAGCTAGAAAGACCTGGTTTTATTAGCTATTCTTTTCTCTGGTGTTGGTGAATTTTACTGAGAAATCAAAATGTTTCCAAACCGCTGATTAAGACGGTCTGTAACTAGCATTAGCCATAACCAACTCACATCCACAATTAGCATAATTTTTACCACGTTGAGCATCAACTTGTGAATTTAGGTTCCGCCTGTGTCAATAAATGTATTCATTCGTTCACTGTGTGTACCAAACTGGAAATGATGTACCGAATGGTACACCATGAATACGTGTACTGTTACAGCTTACTATTAACTATTAACAAAGGCAACAGGCAGCACAACCGTTAAGGACGCGTTAAAAGTCATTTATGTTAGCGACACTTCACAAACACCGTTGACAAATTGGCAAATTACATGCAGCACCACATGGTTTTAAGAGCAAATCCAAATCCAGACAGCAAACTGCAGACTTATGCAGCCCGTCTGCCGCTGCAGTCGAAATGGGCAATAAAAGGTTCGCACAAAGAACAAGGTTCTTAAAACCCTGGAGTTAATTTGCGGGACCAATTAAAAGCCTACGTGTCATTGTGCAAAATAATGCCTCTAAATGGGTATTAAATGAACCGAGGGCAGCCCAACAGCACTGAAAACACACAAGAATAATTCAGCTGTAAATCATTATTAAACTCCCAGATGACGACTGTAGGACTTACTCACAGCGAATGATGAGTTCAATTGTAGGCCGACACAAGATGCATTTAGCTTAATCTGCTGCTTCCGGGACATTCCGGGACATCTAAGTTTTGCTTACAGCCTCAAATTAATATGTGCCTTGTTGACTCACCCAGCATGCAGCTTACAGATTGCAAAGTTAACTCCTATGCTTTCATTTGTACTCTGCTTGAGACCATGGAATGGAATGGGAGAGCAGCTGTATTTTAACCGTCCCTGTGGCAGAAACGGGGTAGTTTTTTGCACATTCCATCACTCTCTCCATCTGAGACAAACACACATGCATATTTATGGGTGAGAGCAAAGCCTGGGATCAGTGCATGGGGTCGTCAGCCAGCATCCACAGCACCTGGAATCTTATTTTATGTGGATTGACTGTGCCAGTGTGTTTTTGTGTGCATTGGGCTTGTTGGGACCAGTGTTATTATCAAACTAGAACTGAAACGAAAACGGACAGCAAATAAAATAATTTGTGAAATGAAGTAAAAATGAAAACTATATTTACAAAACAAGTGGCAGACTTTAATCAGCAAAAAGCAGTGCCACACCACCAGCAACTTTTCACCTTGTTTATCCACAATATCTCCTGTTTTAAAGATGATGTGGTTTGCCAAGTTGTCCCTTTCTTCACTGCCGCTCCAGTGCTTATTGCTTCCATGATTTACTAAAAAAGTAACACGTGGCATGCTCCGCTAATCGAATTTAATAAACATGAGGATAGGCTGAATTTATACAGATTACTAACGTTTGGGTGTCGTAATATGCATTCTATTAATATTTTAGGCATACTACTACTTTGTTATCGAATTGTGGGCAAAAATAATGTTCACATTGTGCCGAAAAGCTGGTGTCCATTACCTATGTTAAATTAAACAGTCTATTTGATGTTCTGGAGGAAACTTAATCATTTAGATTAATCGACAAATTGGTAAAATAGTCAATAGATTAATCCATAGGAAAATAGTTATTAGTGAAAAAGGTCACATTTTAGTTTTAATGTACAAAGCAAATTCCCCAAAAAAGTAGAAAATAAATAGTTTGCATTTCTTGAAAACAAAATAAATTACAGTGGAAGCGATTCATAGTGATCACATATGTCTGAGAAATTGATCACTATAAGAGGATGATCATTATAACTGATTTTCCCCTCTTTTTTCTTTATGTCTCAGACAAATTTCCATCTAATTGACATTTGTATACTTATTACCCGCATATAAGGTCATAAAACGGACAGTATTTTATTTATTGAATTTTATTGACTCTTTCAAAATACAATATAGCTGTTTCAAATGTTTTTCAAATTACAGTGCAGTACAAGTTAAATTATGGAACTGTGTATAATTCAAATACACTATAATACAGTATGTTACTGTACATAAAATATAGCTTGCTGCTGCATCTCATTGGCTCATTTTTGGCAGTTTATCATAAACTTTGATGAGAAAATGATTTTCTTTTTCC